ATATTTAAATGCCATTTAACAAAGAAAAATCAACCAAAAAAATGAGTTCACGTGTCACCTCTGACACGCGTGTCATAGGTTCGCCATCACTGTAATATGCAAATGGTTGTCACACTCTCACGCCATAATGGCTCAGGGACTCAACACTGGGGAAAGAGAAATGGGGACCAGCCAGGCACAAATGAGCTCATGAGAGAGGAATGAGGACCAGCCAGGCTGCAGCCCGGGAGAGGGACAAGTTGCCTGCCCCATGGTCCTGGGTGCCAACACCTGTGGCTGCAGCCAGAGAGAGGGACAAGCCATCTGCCCCGCTGTCCTGGGCGCCTGCGGCCCAGGCGAAGCCACCTGCCCACAGTCCCCTGCGGCTGCGGCCAGCCCAGGCGAAGCCAGCCCGGGTTCTGGGTGCCTGCGGCCAGCCAGAGGGAGGGAACCCGGGTCCCAGGTGCCTGCGACTGGCTGGAGGAGGGAATCCTGGGTCCTGGATGCGGGGCGAGGCAGAGGTGGTTAGAGGCAATCAAGCAGGCAAGCAGAGGTGTTAGGGGTGATCAGGCAGGCAGGTGAGCGGTTAGGAGCCAACGGTCCTGGATTGCAAGAGGCAGTCAGACATCCCCTGAGGGGTTCCGGATTGGAGAGGGTGCAGGCTGGGCTGAGACGCCCCCCCATGCACAAATTTCGTGCACCGGGCCTCTAGTTAAATATAGAAATATATTATACGTTCAATAAAGAAATGCCTTTTTTTTTAATAGCAAGGAAAATAATTGAACAAAGTGTTAAATCTGAACCAAGTGTTTCAAGGTGAACAAATCTCTTCATTGCTCAAATGCAAATTTTTTTTTGTAGGAAACTGAAAAATATTAATGGGGTATATAGCTTTGAAAATAAACATAAGCTATACCATATAAGGCATAATTATCCAAATTCCCATTAGTAATGCTCCTTTCTTTTTAATGAACAATTTGTTTTGGCAATTTTCTGTAGATGAGAGAACAGAACATGTTCATAACACTCCTGTCATTCACAGCATTAAACAGAATGATTTTCAAAACAAAATAAAAACATCTACTATAAAAAAAGAACAACCTTATGAATGCTGAGATTAAAATAAACAACTTCTGAAAATCTTCAGCAGCAGATGCCTAAATAGAATAAACTGATTTCCTGAACTGTACACACATATACAAGATAAGACTTTCCAGTATGGCAAGACACCATGTTGAGGCCTTTCAACAGACTCAGGAACTGGGTTCTAAAAGGCTTCTTAATTTCTGGTTTGGTAAAATTCTTCAGTAGAGTCTTACTGTGAGAGTATATGGCCTAGAACTCATAATAACAGAAAAGGTAGATCAAGAGCCATAACTAAAACAAAAGTATTTAACCTTTTATCTTCCCTTCAAGGTAAATCTATAGTAGTTTCATATTGACTTTATGCAACTATTTGACTTTGAGGATTTGAATGAAAGAATGTTTATACTTCTATTTGATTTTTCTAAAATGATATTTAAGAGTATCTAGCCACCTTGAGGATTCCTGGAAATTTTACTCACCCTTTACCATACCCTCCTCCCTCTGCACATTCCTATGCTATTACCACTAAACCACCACAAAAATGAACTTTTTAAAAAAATAACAGAATTGATGTGAATCCAGTCAAAGAAATCACTAGGAAGAGTTTAGGGTCTGCAGTTTTATAACTTTCTTTACAACATTTGAATTTTAAAGGTCTTCTCTAGAAACTTTTTTTAAATAAAACTTTTATTGGAGAAAAATAGAACCACCACGTACACAGGAAAAAGAACACAAAAATTCAACCGATACAGAACTGAAAAGTCACAATTACCCAATGTTTGCAATTACTTTTCAATTTCTTAAACAGTTCTACTCAATTTGTTTTTAATAGCCTTGCCAATTTTTCAAATGAACCAGCATCAAGTTTTCAAACATTAAGAGCCTCAGAAAAGGGACCAGCTTTCAAGATGATGAAGGTGGCACCAAGAGTCTCCTCCTAACAGGACCGATTCTATATAATTTTGTAAGAGTAACTACCAAGTCTTGTGGAACTATCTACATATCTCAGAGACCATCAGGGATGAGTTAGAACACTGATGTAGATGGTCCAATATGGAGAAAAGGCAAACAAAATAGTTGTATTTCCTGGTCAGATGACCTCATATAAGGAAACACCAGAAGAGCTGAGAATATAAAGGTAATGACTGTTCAAAAGAAAATTAGGAAGGCATTCAAAATACCACATATTGTTACACAACAGTGTGCACACTGACGCAATTAGAGACACAGGCAACTGTGTTAAAATAACTGTTCACAGGTCTTTGAGAATTCAAGAAAATAATACCAGACACAAAAACCAAGTCTCTGGCTAGAACCTAGGTATTCTTCCTACCTAATGACTCCAAATAGTAAAGGAAATAAACTACTGCAAAAACAGTTCTAATTTTTTAAAAAAAGAACAAAATTTTCTGCTTTTCCTTTGTGATGGATTAATTTCAAAACTTCAAGAAAAAACAAATACAAAAGAAAAAAAACAAAAAAACACCACTGGTGGTAAAGATAAGCCTTTTACTCACAAGATCAATTTGAAGAACAATACTTTTGCTATATTCTATATAATCTGAATAATCCTAGGATATTCCCCCTGAAAAGTAGGTGCCTGGTCATTGTAAGAATTCTTCAAACAATTTTGAAAGGAACAAGATCAGCATGAAATAGAATTTGAAATTCCCAACTAGTGGATGTGTGGAGAAAATGAGAGAACCTTTACATCTAGGGCTATAGGAAGTTAGAATAAAAATGACAGTAAAGGCTTATTTACCAACAAAGAGTTAGGGTGCTTCCCCCAAAAAACTTTGGTAATAAAAAATAGGAATGCTAAATCCTAAAAAGCCTGTAACAATCTACAATTGGTCCAAGTTAAACACAAAACTGTTCAAGCAACATTAAAGTCTAAAGGAAGTTGAAAACTACCTGATGAATTTTTAGTTGTGTAAAAATTTACAAAATATGCGGGTTTTGGTCTCTTTTGCAATGTTCATATTGTATTCATTTTTAATATGCAGAAAGTTGGATTTTTCTCTCCTATTTTGTTCTTCTAGTACAAATGATCAGCAATTTTCTATTTCAGCTATTTTCATAAGTACCTGTTAATTAGCACAGTAAACTCAAGGCTAAGCCATATACACACATCTCACAGCCATAAATGGAACATTTGAGGATGTGTATATACAAGAGATTATATAAGCAACTGTCCCTCTACTTGAAAACTTGTTTCCAAATAAAATTTTCAAAGCATCCCTTTGAGTGTAACAGAACATTACTTAGTAAAATGGAATTAGTTGCGACAACTTATTTTTCTTTTCAAGGGAAATCACAAAACAGGTGAACAACTAAATCCAGGGTGGTTTTTCTATTTGATAAATACATCCAGAACTCTGTACAGTAAATAAAGTTTGCATGCAGTTTAAGTATCTTTAAATGACATATTAAGCAAATAAACCTTTGCTTTATAATTAACGGTGTATAAGAACCCCCCGTTTTTAATAGCCATAGGGACCTCTTCCCTATTTCCAAAGAGGAATCATGAAGACCAAGTACTTTCTTAAGAGTTTTCTGCACATCATACTAAATAACATGCAAAGAGTTTAACAACATTCTTCTTAAAGGTAAGTATTACTCTTTTAATGGGCATGTTAACCACTGAAAATGTCCACTCAACTATTTTCATTACACTGCTTCATTTGGTCATCGGTAGTATAAAAGAATTCAAACAATATAGGGTCAACAAGTTAAGTTTATCCACTGGCTACAGCATGAAACACAAAATGCTCCAAGGCCAAACTTTTATGCAATGTAGTTGTACTGATTTGGGTTTTCTTTATCTCTTTCCATGTAGTCCCGGTCAATTAAGGATTCTATTCTCTTCTTTAGATCAGCAGGCTGTAAGAGAAAGCAAATTTTCAGTTCAAAGCTCATAGTCACTAGCTCAAGTCCATTTACCAACACCCCATTAAAAAAGGAACAGCCTGCCCTAACTGGTTTGGCTCAGTGGATAGAGCGTCGGTCTGCGGACTGAAAGGTCCCAGGTTCGATTCCGGTCAAGGGCATGTACCTTGGTTGCGGGCACATCCCCAGTAGGAAGTGTGCAAGAGGCAGCTGATCAATGTTTCTTTCTCATCGATGTTTCTAACTCTCTATCCCTCTCCCTTCCTCTCTGTAAAAAACCAATAAAATATATTAAAAAAAAAAAAAAGGAACAGCCCTAGTTGGTTTGGCTCAGTGAATAGAGCTTCGGCCTGCGGACCAAAGGGTACCAAGGTCGATTTCGATCAAGGGCACATACCTTGGTTGCAGGCTCTTCCTTAGCCTGGGCCCTGGTCAGGGCGGGTGCAAGAGGCAACCAATTAATGTGTTCCTCTCACATCAATGTTTCTCTCTGTCTTTCCCTCTCTCTTCCACTCTCCCTAAAAAAATCAATGGAAAAATATCCTCTGGAGAGGATTACAATAATAATAATAATTTTAAAAAGGAACAGTTTGGTTGTTAATCTCCTTAATGTTTTTTAATTTTCACTTTTTGTTTTTGTTAATCCTCACCTGAAGCTTTTTAAAGTATGTTTTTATTGATTTCAGAAAGGAAGGGAGAAGGAGAGAGAGAGAGAGAGAGAGAGAGAGAGAGAGAGAGAGAGAAAACATCAATGACGAGAGAATCATTGATTGGCTGCCTCCTGCACACCCGCTACTGGGGATTGAGTCCACAACCCACGCATGTGTCCTGACCAGGAATCGAACCATGACCTTCTGGTTCATGGGTCAATGCTCAACAACTGAGCCACATTGGCCGGGTACCTGAGGATATTTTTTCCATTGATTTTTAAAGAGAGTAGAAGGAGGGGAAGAAAGGGAGGGAGAAAGAGAGGGAAAGAGGAAGAGAGAGAGAGAGAGAGAGGAGGAGGGGAGGGGAGGGGAGGGGAAGGGAGAGGGAGAGGGAGAGAGAGAGGGAGAGAGAGGGAGAGAGAGAGAGAGAAACATTTATTGATGTGTCAATTCCTGACAGGGATGGGGTTCGAACCTGCAACCCAGACAAGTGCCCTCAACCTTTTGGTGCTTTGGTCAACATTCTAATCACTAGGCAACACCAGCCAGGGCTAATTTTTACTTTTTAAAATCTCAACTTTTTAAAAGATAAAGTATAATGGAAATAAACCAGTTAAGGAATATTTTAAACTATACACATACTGTCACACCTTGCCATATTACTATACAACACTTTCTATTTTAAAGAGGTCTTCTAAGAACCAGCTATTCTCTGCACAAATACAAGAAAATTAACTCATAACTTCACATGAGAAATACATTATATGTTTAGGGAGACAAAATGCTATTTAATTTTGCCAAGATAGTTTGAAAAGACAGGTAAACCTTAAATTTGGGCAAAAAATAGTTCTCAAAGTCAGGTTGCATTTTTATTTTTAAAAAATGTACTGGCGCCCAGCATTGTGGCTCAGTGGTTGAGCGTTGACCTATGAACCAGAAGAGTCACGGTTCGGTTCCAGGTCAGGGCACAGGCCCAGGTTGTGGGCTCGATCCCCAGTGTGGGGCGTGCAGGAGGCAGCCGATCCATGATTCTCTCTCATCATGTTGAGCGTTGACCTATGAACCAGAAGAGTCACGGTTCGGTTCCAGGTCAGGGCACAGGCCCAGGTTGTGGGCTCGATCCCCAGTTTGGGGCGTGCAGAAGGCTGCCGATCAATAATTCTCTTATCATTGATGTTTCTTTCTCTTCCTCTCCCTTCCTCTCTGAAATCAATGAAAATATATATATTTAAAAAAATATTTTTAAAAAGAAGTACTGGCCCTGGCCAGGTGGCTCAGTTGGTTAGAGCGTCATCCCATACACCAAAAGGTTGTGGGTTTGATTCCTGGTTAGGGCACATACTTAGGTTGTGCATTTGATCCCTGGTTGGGGTGCATATGGGAGGCAACCAATCAATGTTTCTCTCTCTCTCTCTCTCTCCTTCTCTAAAAATCAATGAACATATCCTCTAGTGAGGATTAAAAATAAATGTGCTAAAGAACAAAAAAATGTGCTGCAGAAATCACTATGTATAAGAATACTACAACAGATGGCTTAATGAGTGAATTATCCTATATAAAAAAGGCTAATATGAAAATCGACCAAATGGCAGAATGACTGGTCGCTATGACACGCACTGACCACCAGGGGGCAGACACTCAACACAGGAGCTGCCCCCTGGTGGTCAGTGCGCTCCCATAGGGGGAGCGCGCTGCTCAGCCAGAAGCTGGGCTCACGGCTGGTGAGCGCAGCTCGCAGTGGACATCCCCCAAGGGGTCCAGGACTGCGAGAGGGCACAGGCCGAGCTGAGGGACCCCCCCCTCCCCCTCGCAGTGAACGAATGTCGTGCACCCGGCCTCTAGTTATCTAATAATCCAGATCTTCGTATTCCAGGTTTAATGTAAGATTTAACTGTTAACCTACTATAAACAATTTGGATTTTTGAATCCTGCTTGTGGTTAAAAGAATTGAGAAAGCTTATGTTTATTTTCAAAGCTATATTCTTAGCTAGCTCTTGGATGACAAAATTCCAGTGGCTTTTACATCTGGCCTATAAAAATATAATCTTTCTTGCTAACAGAGAGTTTTCAGATTGTGTATAATCACCAATTGATCAAGAAGGTTAAAGAGGGAAAGTAGTCTGATGGGGCAGCCAAAATTTCAGCCATATCATCACGCAGTAAATTCTAAGGTTTGAAAATCAAAATGGCTCTCTCTTAATTATGGTGAACCTAGGCTATTAGCACAATATTTATTTTAGTGATCCTCTTACCTTCTCTAGCATCAGTGATCTCTGGCTGGAAGTGAATGGTTGTTAGGCAGAGCATGAGGGTGACAGTGTGGTGATGAGGCAGCGGTGTTAGGTATGGAGAAGACAGAAAGCCTACCTTATTAGCATTAATAGCTAATGAGCACTTATTATGTTCCAGGCCCAGTACTAAGTTTTTTACATATATTATCTAATTTAAGCCTCACAATAATCTACAAGGTAAGTACTACTACTATCACCACTTTATAAAAGAAAAAACAAGCCCAAAGCTCACAAGAACATCAATAGCCAAGGGTCTAGCCAAACTCTACCAAGAGTTGATCATCACAAGTGTTTGGAAATTGTATGAAACTTGGAAAACAGTGCAGTATACCACCACATTGTCTAAGCCTCCTTATTATTGGGCATTTATACTGGAATGTCCATTTAATACCCAATTTCAGTTTTCCAGAACCATTGCTAAACTTTTCAAAAGATGGCTTAATGATAGTTATCTATATAAAGTTTCTAATGGATACTCATATAAGCTAACTAAACAAAAGATTTAAAATAACCAGATTTGTCAAATACCAAGCTATTGATATATATATATATATATACACATTTATGTATGTGTATATATATACATTTTATGTGTGTGTGTGTGTGTGTGTGTGTGTGTGTATATATATATATATATTTCTTTCTTTCCAATTACAGTTGACATTCAGTCCTTGGGTTACGTCGGACTCGATGTACATTGTTTTGTGGTTACATTGCCATCTCCATTTATAAAAAAAAAAAAGTTCCGTCATTTCAACATATGTACATATGTGCTTTATGTTTTTCTTATTATTTATTTTCCACAAGTAAAGGTCAGGAACTGTTATCTTTCTTTTAAATTTTTTTTTACTGTTTCACTTCATTACTGCTGTGTATGTGCTCCATGTGAGTGACGTAGGTGCTTATGTAGGTGGGTTCCAACTTACACGAAAATTGGGTTACATCGCGTTGCAGGAATGGATCTCCAATGTAACCCAAGGACCTACTGTATTTTATACTAGAGGCCCAGTGCACAAATTCGTGCATGGGTGGGGCCCCTTGGCCTGGGCTGGCAATGGGGCCAATCAGGGCCGTCTCACCCAGTCTCGATTGGGGCGAATGGGGGTGGGCCGGCCAGCTGGAGAGGGACTGCAGGAGGGCTCCAGGGCGTGTCCAGCCCGTCTTGCCCCATCCTGATCAGCCTGACCCCAGCAGCAAGCTAACCTACGGGTCGGAGCATCTGTCCTCTGGTGGTCAGTGCACATCATAGCGATTGGTCGAGTGGTCGACTGAACGGTCGACCAATCGGTTGAACATTTAGCATAAGAGGTTTTTTTTGTTTTGTTTTTTAAATATATTTTTATTGATTTTGGAGAAGAAGGGAGAGGGATAGAGATGGAAACATCAATGATGAGAGATAATCATTGACCGGCTGTTTCCCGCACGCCCCCTACTGGGGATCAAACCTGCAACTCAGGCATGTGCTTTTGACTGGAATCGAACCTGGGATCCTTCAGTCCACAGGCTGACGCTCTATCCACTGAGCCAAACCAGCCAGGGCAAGAGGGGTGTGTGTGTGTGTGTGTGTGTATATATAGTTTCAGGCGCACAGCACAGTGGTTAGACAATTGTATAATTTATGAAGTGGATCCCCCTGTAATTCTAGTACACACCTAGGACCATACATAGTTATTACAATATTATTGACTATATTCCCTATGCTATTACAAGGTATTTCAAGGAGAAAAAAACAACAAAAGTAACAAAGAAGCTCAAAAGAAGTGGAGTAAATGAACTTGAAAATTTCAAAGACTCATTTAGCAGCTAAACTTCCAGGTATAAGAGCTTTTATAAAATGTTTTCCCTCTTTTGTCACAGCTGCCCACATGTGACAACAAAGGTTTTTTTAAATCATATATATGAACATGAGAAATTAAAACTTCTGTCCCTCGCCCTAGCCAGTGTTGCTCAGTTGGTTGAGCATTGTCCTGTGCACCAAAAGGTCAATGGTTCGCCCTAGCCGGTTTGGCTCAGTGGATCGAGCGTTGGCCTGCAGACTCAAGGGTCCCAGGTTCGATTCCGGTCAAGGGCATGTACCTTGGTTGCGGGCACATCCCCAGTAGGGGGTGTGCAGGAGGCAGCTGATCGATGTTTCTCTCTCATAGATGTTTCTAACTCTCTATCCCTCTCCCTTCCTCTCTGTAAAAAATCAGTAAAATATTTTTTTTTTTTTTAAAAAAAAAAAGGTCAATGGTTCAATTCCTGGTCAGGGCACATACTCAGGTTGTGGTTTTAGTCCCCAGTAGGGGGGGCGTGCAGGAGACAGCCAATTGATGTTTCTCTCTTTCTCTCTCTCTTCTCTTCTTCTCCTCTTCTCTCTCTCCCCCTCC